TGAGAGGAGCTAAGGACCAGTTCCAAGGAACTCCCGGCCCAAGACAAAGTTGACTACTACGACTACTACTACTACTACTACTGCTGCTGCTGCTGCTGCTTCTGCTGCTTCTTTTTAATAAACTTCTGGGACAGAAGCGACTCGGTTCCCACGCTGCTTTTAATTTGCGAGCCTCTTGCGCTCTCCTTCAGAATCAGAATCAAAGCCATTAGTTTACACTTTACATGCTAATGGAAGGATGAGGGTCTGGTCTGGACTGGATGTGTCTGGTCTGGTTTGGTCTCTGGTCTCTGGTCTTTGGTCTCTCGTCTCTGGTCTTTGGTCTCTGGTCTTTCATCCTTTTGGTAGTTTGAAAGCAGCGGAGTGCCTCGAGCCCTGCTCTTTTGTGGCTTCTGAATGGCGGAGTTCTGCAGCCGAAAATAAAAATCAAAACCAATGAACTTTTTTTAATTGCCTATGAAAATTGTATCTCCTCTGTGGCTCCTTACCCCAGAGATTCTCCAAGCGTTTCTCCAGCGTATTCGGTAGCCTTCTCCTCACTTCGCCAGAGACCGCAATTTAAAGTTTCTTTTTATATTCGCGTTGCGCCGTTTTATGTTTTCTTGCGTTTGTTGTTTTATTTGCATTTTGGCGCCGGAGTTTTCAACTTTTTTTTCCTTCTTTTTAGTTTTTTTTATAAAAATGTTTTGAAGTGGCAGGGGGGAAGGGGGTTCCTTGGCTGATGAGTAGCGGCCTTTCACACACAGTGTGCCACAAAGTTTGGGGATTAGCTGACTCGACGGATTAGCTGAGATTGATTCCCGGGCTGATGGATGGCGATAATTGTCGGCTTCGATTGCTGATTTTTACGGGGCCTTTTTTTATGGCGGAGAAAACTCATCAGGAGTGCAAATGGCAGCGATAATTGGAAAAGACTAAAAAAAAACTGGATACAGTAACTACCTTGGCCAGTTAGAAAAGTGTAGAATTATTTTTTAAGAATTTAATAGGAATTCTTTATGGCTGATAATTGGAAAAAATATGATTTTTTATTGCCATCTCTGGCAGTGGCAGAGTCTTTAATATTTATTTTATGTTTTTTAAGTAAGAGAATGTTTTCTTAATGAGTTGAAAGTTACTTTAAAAATATTTTCAAATATTTAAGCTAATATTTTATTACTTTTTGGGAGTATAATGAATGGGAAACAAGTCTTAAATTTAGTTTTAGATTGAAAAGGAGACATCTTTTGGCTATAAACTGGAAGTTCAGCTAAGGAAAAACACCTTTAAGTTATAAACAGTACCTTATGCCTTATCCCGCCCAAACTAGATCAGCAATTAGTAATGCAGATCAGGGAGAGATATATGTACATATATACCCCTTATAGACCCGCCTTGATCCACCGACTCCACGGCGAATCGCCTTTCAATGTTTGGCACACTGGCACCCTAGGTGGCGCCACTTGGCGCCAGTCCAGTCACCAAGACCAACGATCCCAGCGGCAAATTAGCCACTGCAACGCCTCCACCCCAAAAGGGAATCGGAATTGGGAATAGGAATGGGAATAGGAATAGCTATAGAATAGGCATCGATATCCATTAGATATATGGCCTACAATGCAAACTGATGAATAATGAATTGGTTTTCGGGAACGACTTCAAACGGAAAGCGACGTCGACCACAACGAATTTAGATTTTTCACATTTTTATTGTTGTTTGCCGACACGGCGATGCAACAGAGTGCATCTCCCACTCTCTCTCTCTCTCATTTTGTTTCTATTTCCCTGTCTCTGTCTCTGATTCTATGGCACTTCGATTCTCTACGGCTTTTCCCCGGGCTCATTGTAAATCATTAGCGACGACACCTGCTGTGAAAATTATGACACCGCCTCCGATTGATGTGCCCAACTTGTTGCCGAAAGGAAAGGCGATGGGCGATGTTTGGTGGGAAAGAGAGAGAGACAGAGGTGTATTGGGCGAGCGGAAAAGAGACAGGAGCTGAGGTAGATAAAAGGTGAGGAACCTGCAGCGCCATTTGCTGATAGCGCCCGCTGTGAACTCGATGCCGGGGCATCCGAATCGGAATTGGACTTGGGAACTGGGAGTTGGTCATTGTATGTATGATACCTCTTCCTTCTCCTTCTCATCCATGGGACATCACCTGCTGTGTTGACCAAATTTGTTTAGCTCGCGCCTTTTGAAGATATCCCCTTCCCTCATCTGATCGCCTTTTGTGGCTCCGAGATTCCCAATGTCCACCTTTGCTAAATGACATTCAACTGCATTAATTAGGCCAACTGCAAAGACCTCCTAAGGTGGCCAAAAACAAGAAGAAGCAGGAGATGGCTGGAGGGTAAAGTTGCTATAAAATCAGTTTAAGATTATCACAGATTTAGAATCAAGGAAAGATTTCAATTAATAACTTTTTCATGGCTTGATTTTCTGTTACTTTTTTATGTTCTTTACAAGGCAAAAAGATAAATTTTCTTATAGGGTAATGTATGATCCACCTACATATCATCTTTGTGACCCAAAACCTTTTTCGAGGCCCGCCAATCAAAACAGGCTGATCGATTAATCAAATCGGGTTGCATTTTAATTTGGCCCAGACTCCTCTGGCTGGCTAACTGACCAACTGACTAACTAACTGACTGACTTGCCTGCCCCGATATCATTTTGTATAATTTATCCAACACACACACACACACACACACACACAGAGAGAGAGACTGGCACAACGGCCATTACTCATACGCGCAGTTGCACGACGTTGAAATTGCTCCAATTAAGTGTGTGCTTTTTTTCGGCCTGGCTTTGGGTTTTGTTTTCCTTTTTGCTCCCTCGAACTGAGAGGCCAATGTAGTTCGGTGGCTGGATATCCAGATATCCAGATATACAGAGATCTGGAGACCTCACGATTTGAATGGGTGATGTCATTAGGCTGCCAAAGCACCTGTCCGATGTCGGGGATGAGCGGACTTGCAATTGAAAAAGCGGCAGCGACATAAACGTGCCACAACAGAGATACATACGGAAATGCTATATATATATAGATAGGTGGGCGGTTGTAAGGGGGATTCCCCAGCCGCCTGGCCGCCTCTCAATTTCTGGAGTGGCCAATTACTGGCCGAAATAGCAGCTTCCGCGGAGGCTCTCTGATCCCGATCTCTGGCTGATTGCTGGTTGCCAAAGCAATCCACATTGCTGCCACTGCCATAGCAATGCACCACTATAAAACTGCTGCACCACCACCCCCCCTGACCAAATCGCCAACGAAAACGGTAAAAGCTCGAAACTAGGCAACTGTAAATCGGCCGACTGCGAGTCAGTAAACTATTAACTTAATTTTTTTGGACAACTCGACGAGGCCACGACTACTGGGCAATGGCCAGAATGCACTGAGAGGAATGATTAGTTGGAAGTTAAAATGAAAATAGGGGGAAAAGCTGTGTTAGAAGATGGAAAATGTTTAGATTTTGTTAAGATTTTGAAGATTTTCTTGAGGGAAAATTCAAATTTAACTTGGAAAACGCTAAGAACTTGGGCTAAGCTTAAAATAGTGACTGGATTTAAATATTTCTTACATTTTTTATATAAAATAAAACATAACTAAAGCAAAAAGCAATAATAAATAAGAATTATCCAAATAACAACCTGCAATTATTGGCAGGAGAAAAAATTCAAATTGACTCGTTTCCCAGTTAATCGATCGATTGCCGATTAATTTCGGATCAGTGTATATATATGGCATATCGGAGTGCTTGATTGAACAACTTTTACCGTATTGCCAAAGTTGTTCAACTTGTTGTTGACAATTCTGCCGTTGTTGCTGGCTGCCGTGACTCTTGCTTGTCTTTTTACCAACTTTGTTGGCTGCGGCCAAAAACTCAAGTCAGGCAGCTGCTGGCAGGCATGAAATGTGTTTGACGAGGATCAGAGGCCACAGATTGGGTGAATCCTTGCTCTACAGAAATCCTCGACCTTCGTCAAGCAGCCAGCAATTTCGTGAGAGAGAGACGAGGAAAGAAGAACAAGTGCCGGCGAGTAGCCGCTAGACAAAAAGCGGAATTGAAAATTAGTTTTGGCCAACGACGGGACAATAAGGAATCCCCCGAACCAGAGCCAACTTTTAATGACTTCCTTCCAAAACGCAGTTCTCGATTATAAATGTCTGTGGGAAAAACAAGAACTTGATGTAGTCGAACGGTGGATACTCTCTAAACTGAGTTTTGTGGTGAAAGAAGAAGTTTTTCTAACTTAAAATTCAAAAAATCTGAAAATAAAAAAGCAAATTTCTAAAAAACTTTAATATTTTCTATAAATATTGTATATATTTTAGGCATATTTAAATTCAATTTTATGTTTCTTAAACCCTTTCCCTTAGCCCGCTTAACCCCTTTTGGCCAAAAGAGTATCCCCAGAAGACCGTAAAAACGCGGCTCATTCGCAGCTCTGAAAGGGAATTTCAGTTTTGATTTACGTGGCGAATTAATTTTGTGGGCTGGTGTTCGCTCCTTGGCCCGCAGCTTGCCCTTTTGGCCCCCTTCCTCAGACAGACATTAGAAACCGTTGGCCGAAAAAACAAAGCCAAAGCCAAAGCCAAAGGCAGGAAGCGAAATTGAGCCCGACTAATTCGCATTTAAGTAATTTGCAAATTCGCGCGAATGGCTGTTAATTAAGAAATGCAGGCTTTCCCTTGGGAAAGGTTTGCTAGAAAGGTTTAGTTTTGGGTTAAGTTAAATGTAGTTTAAGATTGGAATATAGATTTAAGATATATATAACAGATATTATATAGAAGGAAAGAGACTTTCTTAACATAAATTGATCTTATTTGATAAACCAGAACTCGCTTTCTTAGTAAAGTTTGCAATTTATCATTTAAAAAATCTTTAAAAATATTTTTAAAATATTTACAATAAAGAAATTTAATAATTTTACTTTAAAAAGTAAAATTCATTAATTTTTAACTAATTTTTAACATTTTTTATTTAACTTTCATATATTTTTTGTACACTTTCAGGACCATCCCAGTTTGAGGGGAACTCCTCTGGCCATGCTGGCCGCCCAGTGCAACAAGCTCTCCAACAAATCCCCGCCACCGCTGGCCGACGCCGCTGTGGGCAAGGGCTTCCATCCGTGGAAGAAGAGTCCCAATTCCCCAGCAGCTGGCTCCAGTGGTGGCTCCTCTGGCGGCGGCGGCGGTGGTGGTGGTGGCGGCGGTGGCAGTAGCGCTGGCCAACATTCGCCCTGCGCCATCTCAGCGGCGAGTTCGTCGAGCTCGAGTGGATCGAGCGGAGGACAGTCCTCCAGGAGTCTCTCCTCCAGCGCCAGCACCATGGTGAACATCACAGCTAGGTAAGCAGACAGGCGGCGCACAGCGATCTGCTGAGGATTCCCCAGGTTGGAGGTGGGTGAATGAGCTTAGGCTATGAGCTAGCATACCCTAGAAGATCCTTTGAGAACCATTTAACCCATCCATCCTTATGGGAATCCCCGGCGGAGAGCTGTGCGCGGACAGCCGCAACAGCTGGCCCTATACGACTCGCGAGTAATTTCAGCATCTATCCTTACAGTCGCCCCCTGGCCTCCTCCTGTGCGGCGGTGGGCGGGGGCTCCTCCGGCTCCTCCTCCTCCGCCTCCGGATCGCAATCATCCTCCTCGGCCTCCGCTGTAGCGGCTGCCTATGGCGGGGATCTATACTTCCCGAACACCTCGACCTCCAACATGGACAACCATCATATGCATCAGGGTCTCCTTGGTAAAGTGGAAGCCGGTGCGGCCGCCTTTGGTGGTGTCTATTCCCGTCATCCCTACGATTGGCCCTTCAATGCGGTTACCCACAAGGAGGCGGCCAGCGTGAATTCCGGTTGGTGGGACATGCACAGTGCCGCCGGATCCTGGCTAGATATGGGTGGTGCCGGCATGCACTCCACGATGGCCAACTATGCCAGCGAGAACTACAGCTCCGCTCTGAGTCATTCGTTGCTGGGATCGGGACAGCATCTGCTGCAGGATACGTACAAGAGCATGTTGCCAGGTCAAGGAGTTGGCGTTGGTGTGGGCGTGGGCGTTGGTATGGGTGGTTTCTCCCTACCCCATAGTTCGCCATCAGCGGCGGCGGCAGCTGCTGCAACAGCGGCAGCAGCAGCAGGTGGTTCGCCACAAGGTGGTTCCCCATCGACACCATCACCCAGATCCCAGAGACGTTATGCTGGAAGGGCCACCTGCGATTGCCCCAACTGTCAGGAGGCGGAACGTTTAGGACCCGCTGGGGTACATCTGCGGAAGAAGAACATCCATTCGTGTCACATACCTGGATGTGGCAAGGTCTATGGAAAGACTTCGCATCTGAAAGCTCACCTGCGGTGGCACACCGGCGAGCGTCCCTTCGTGTGCAACTGGCTGTTCTGCGGCAAGCGTTTCACACGCTCCGACGAGCTGCAACGGCATTTGAGGACGCACACCGGCGAAAAGCGCTTTGCATGCCCCGTGTGCAACAAGCGCTTTATGCGCAGCGACCATTTGGCCAAGCACGTGAAGACGCACAATGGCACGGCCAATCACCAGGCCAATGGCCATGGTGGGCTGAAGAAGGGCTCCTCGGAGTCGTGTAGCGACTCAGAGGAGGCCGCCAACCAGTCGGGCGAGTCCAACGGGCTGGGCGGCGTGGGCAGTGGCCCTCAGACGGGCGGGGCCGGTGGCGGCGGGGGTGGCGCTAGTTCTGGTTCGGGATCGGTATCTGGATCGGTAACCACCGGAGCGGGAGGTGGTTCCTCTGGCAGTTCCAACTCCAATTCCAATTCCGGTGGTTCGAGCGGTTCCGTTTCCGGTTCTGGCAGCCATCCCGGCACCCCGACCTCGCTGCACGCGCACAGCGCCAATGGCACGTCCAGCAGCCTGCTGGGCGGCGGTCTGCACCTGGCCACGCCGCACCAGATGGTCGCCGCGGGCGGTTCGCCGGTGATGCTCCACCAGCAGCAACAGCAGCAGCAGCAGCAGCAACATCAACAGCAACAGCAACAGCAGCAGCAACATCAACAGCAGCAGCAACATCAACAGCAGCAGCAACATCAGCACCACCAGCAACAGCAGCAGCATCATCATCAGCAATTTGGCCAGCAACAGCATCCCCATGCCCACCACCTGCACCACCATGCCCACCACTCGCACCACCTGGCCACCGGTGGCTCACCCGGTCTGGATCCCAGCTCTCTCGTAGATATCAAGCCACCCATGGTTTGAGGTTCGCTGGGACCCTTCCTGTTCACCAACTAAAGCAGCGAATGGGTTCCACACCTTGACTACACCATACACTATATACTATATACTATATATATGCATATATCATTACCGATATCATTTCGATCTAAAGCTATCTTGCGGTTGTACATATAGCCAGCAGATGTCTGTACATATTCAAAGAGCCCGCTCTATGTGTCTATCGCGCTAATCCCAGCACTAAAACTAAAACTAAAACTAAACAGAAATATACAAATATATATATATATATATCTGAGGAGTATATATATATATATATTGCTTATAGCCTATTTGTAGAGTAAGCCATTTTCTAGAATATCTAGTTGTCCCCCATAGAGAAAAGCAGAGCGAGAATACTTTTTTTTTTGATTTTTTTTTACTAGCCCTATGGATATGTAATTTTTTTCATAGCTTCTAAGAATTATATAACGACATTAACCAAGAGACAAGCTTCGAGCACCACAAAAACAAAACCTAAAAAAAAGAAGAAGAACAACAACAGAACTTAACAATTATGCAATTCTAAAATATATTTAAAATAAAATATAAATAAATATAAATATGGATATTGAGAGGGGGGGGAAGATCATAAATATATTTCTAGTCCAATTATGAAGTGTGAGCGAACCAAAATTGTAAAGAAAAACGAAAGAAAACAAAAGAAAAGTAAAGAAAAGAAAAGAGAAGCAAAAAAAAGAAAAGTAAAGTAAAGAAAAGAAAAGAAAGTGAAAGTAAAAACTTAAAGAAAGGCAGAGGGGGAAGGATCTAGAATCTAGCCCTTGTAAGTTAGTACATGTCCCTCATTTATTTTTGCTAAACCCAACGGACGAGGAGGTTCGTCCTCCGGCGGTTATCTTAGATGCTAGTGCTTTAATCGAATCCCAACTACCATAAGAAGGAAAAGGAAAGGCGGAAAACTGAAAAGGAAAAACTAAGAAGAACCCAAGCTAAACCTAAACTAAATGTGTTTTTGTTGTTTTATTTGAACTTAGGCTTAGAGCAAGATAAACTTAGATACTTAGCACACACACACACCAACACACACACCAACACACACACACAAACAAACAGCACGAATGCTAAATGGGATTTGGCCAATCCTACGGCATCAGCAATTATTATCATCTTCGATTACTTTTTTTTGTCTATGTAAATTAATTATTTAAAATACGAATAAACTATTTAAATTTCATTCAAAAATAAATGTAAAACCAAACGTTTTTTCTCTCTAATTTATAATTCACTTTCGAGTAGCAAAAAAGGGTGTTAGGGGGAATCCCTGAAATCAATTTGCTAAATCAATCTTTGTATCTTTGTATCTGCAAATAAGCGTAAAATATGTTCATCTGATTGAGGGTGGACTTTTGCTTTTGGATTTTGGGGATGCTGACGAACTGCTGGACTTCCTGTTCCTCTAACCACCCATCCAGGCCGGATTCTCATCTGGTCGTTAACGACTTTTAACGCTCTCTCAATCTCGGCTAGAAGGATGCTAGCAGGGCCAAAAGGTCGACCCTAATGTCCTGATATCCTCATGATGATGTGTGTGTGTGTGTGTTTGGGTGATTTAAATTTTATTACCATGGCCCCATGGACACCCTCGCAATCGGAATACTCTGGAACAGATTGCCCGTCAAGTGGGTGCAGATTGTTCCTTCCATCCACCCCCCTTTTGCAAGTGGATTAAGCTGCGCAGTTATTTTCCCGCCGTTTTGCCCGCTGCTGTTTTGACAGGGGTGTGGTCGCCCGGGGGGGGCAAAAACAATTTGCCAGGGCAATGAATTCAAGATTCGAATGAATAAGGTTTTTGGCTTCTGGCCGATATGGGAGACGTCGAGAGGGCTCTCTACGACGGGGGAGTATTAATGGAAAGCCCAAGTCCTGGCTGCTCACTTAAAGCATTTGCAGGACCATAAGGACTTAATGTGGCTGTGATAATGGTTTGTATATGGAACTGTGGTTAAACTAGGACTAGAAAGACATTAGGAACTAGGGATATGAATAAGAGATTTGCAATGTTTATAAATAAAGGAGATAATGTTAATATTACTTTAATATTAGGTTGTCAAAAAAGTCTTGCGGTATTTTCGGTAGTTGGCGCTGAAAGCGCGTAGTTCTTGTTTTATTCGTCGCATCAGGTCATACTATACCTTTTTGGAAAGCTAATTTCAGGCGCTAATTGATTGATTTTATTGATTGTCTTTTCTTTTAAGTCATTCGTGAGTTATAGCCTCGCAATCATGGAGCAAAATAAAGAGAAAATACGGCATATTTTACAGTACTTCTACGATAAAGGCAAAAATGCATCTCCAGCCGCCAATAGAATTTGTGCAGTTTATGGACCCGATACAGTTTCCATTTCCGCCGCACAACGATGGTATCAACGTTTTCGTTCTGGTGTAGAGGTGGTCGAAGATGCGCCACGCTCCACGCCAATAGGGAAGCGAGCTTCTATGAGAGGGGCATTAAGAAGTTGGCATCTCGTTGGGAACGCGTCATCGAACAAAACGGCGCATATTTGACTTGAATCATCAGCATTATTGTAACCAATTTTATACCGCAAGACTTTTTTGACAACCTAATATTGCTTTTAGAAAAGTTTTTCAAGTGGAAAAGTTATTGCCTTAAACTAGGTCTTTAACATCAATCACTGAACAGTATTTAAAGCAAAAAATATCTTTAAAATTATAAATAAAATATTATTTCTTATTCTGCGTTTAAGAAATATCTTTAAAAATTAACAGTAAACAATATTTAAGGCAAGAAATATATTTAAAAATCATAAATAATATTTTATTTCTTGTTTTGTAGTTAAAAAATGTCTTTAAATTTTGGCAGTAAATAATAAAAAAATCAGAAAAATCTTTAACATTTTAAACAAATAACATTAAAATCTTAAAATAGATTTAAATTTCTTTTAATTAGTTTAATTTTGTACTTAAATATATTAAGATGTTAGAATAATTAGGAAATCAGCACCAGAAAACAAGTTAAAAGACCAATTTTTAAGATCAGTGTTAGGTGTTTTAATTTTTTATTACATTTTTTAAATTATTTTCAAAAATCATCTTTGCTAAAATATGTAAATTTTTAACTATGATTAGGGGTTCCCTTTAATAATTTTGTGGAATTCTAGAAACAAATTTACAACCTCTTAAAATTACTTTATATTGCATGGCAGACTTTCTAATACTTAAAGCCTTAAATGCCTTAAAAAATGCCTTAAAAATTAGTAAAAAAAAATATCTATAATATCAAAAACTGTATTAATTAGGCTTTAAATATTCCATAAACTCTTCTAGTCTTACATAATTATAGTTAACATAAATCAAACGCAATTTAAAGTGGATTTTCCTCGAATGGAACTCAAGTGCGGTAAACTAAAGTGAGGCAACTCTCTCTTCCTCCTCTCAGACTCCTTGGAATCTTTGACTCCTGTTTTCTGGGTATTGTGTGTCACATGGTAGCCGCATCCCGCTGGGCAACTCATCCCACTGCACCCACTCCCCCTTAACAGCCCCCTCATGCCAGGCCACAGCAGGATTCAGATTTCAAAAGAGTGCCAGAGCAAGTTGTAAATTAAAATAATGAAAAATACAAACACAGAGTGAAAAAAGAGATAGCTAGCGACATAAAACAAAGGACAGGACATGCGTTTGGCATCGGCTTGCAAAGGACATGGGCTGCCTGTAAATATATATAATATATATATATATATATAGTCTTGTAGTGGGTATAGGAGACGAGAATAAAACTGAATAAATCAGAAGAAGAGCCCAAGGTAGTGGCTGCAGTTGAGTGGGGAAAAGAGAGAGAGAGAGTTTGAGACGATGATAAACGAGCCACTCTGCGGCGCTGACAAAATCATTAGCAGCCAACTTTAATTAAAATATGATTTTCATGATTTTCACACATTTGAGCGGAGTTAGGCGCCAGCAATGGGATCCTCATCAGGGCCACTCCCATTTCCAGTTCCCTTTCCCTAATTCCCAAATCTCTGAAACCAAAACCCCAAAGAAAGTGTCAACGCTGAGATGCCATTGGTATCTCAGGAATCTTTTAATGCTTGCCACGCCCCCACCAGCCCCCGGTTCACAAATCTTGTTCACACATTGTTTTCATTAAGCAAAAAAATGAAACGCGCACGGAAAATATTTGTATACCCTGTAAAGAAATCGTTTGAATATGGGTATGCTAGACTATAGAGTTAGGAAGAAGTTAAGAAGAAGTTTCTTACAGAGATTTATATTGAATATATAGGTTTTAGGAACTATCTTTTGATATCAAAGATTAAACTTAGTAAGTTGAATTCTTCTTGTCCGTATAAGAAAGAGTTTTTATCCTACAAAAATTCTGGAATATTTATAAAGGGAGATTGTATCACTTGCAGAAGTATAAAAGATTTTAGTATTATAATTTTATATGGCCAAAATCCAAGACTGAATTTAGTAACTTTTTAATAACTTAGTAAGTAACTTTGATAAGTTTGTCCGTATGGCCAGTGTTACCCTCTTACTTTTTTGAAGAATATCACAGAGAGATTATATCACATGTCAAACTTTATTAGTTTAAAGAATCACCTTTTTATATATACACAAAATCCCAGATTGAAATGATTGATCAACAATCATTGATCATTGGTTTCATGTCCGTAAAAGTGTCCGTTTGAATATAAACTACCAAAAACTAAATATTTATTTACTGAAATATTAAAACTACTAACTATGAATGGAAATCAATAAAAAATCTTTCAGAACTCTTTTAGAAACATAATAAAAATCCACATAAAACCCAATTTTAAGTTAAAAGCCAGCAAAATTTCTTAACTAAAAAGAAAATTCATGAATTTAACATTAAAATTGTTAAACTCTTTCATATAAATTACGTATATTACAGGGTATCTGTCAAGTCTCTACCCTTCATCCCTATAATTCCAATACATAGTCGCTGTCTGAATGGAGACTCCGTGATTTGGAGTTGCTGAAGTTGTTTGGAGCCTCGCCGTTGTCAAGTTCTTTCGACATCTGTTTGCATTTGACACGATTATTTATGTTTATCGCGCGTTAAATGCGCCCTATTATCAGCATAATAATCGTAATTAAAAGCCAACTAATTTATGGCAGTGATTTATGCCGCGCTCTCCCCTCCTCCCTTCTCCTCTCATGGATTCCTGGCATTCCCGATGGCATTTCCCTACTTCTCCTCCTCCTTCTCTTGGTTCCTTCCACTTTCCTTCCTTCCACATACCAATAAATATACTCGTATTCTCAACTTTTTGAGTTCTCAATTTTTGGTCTGGCACTGCGCAATTCGGTTATATCCCGCTGGGCCAGGATAACCGACCAAGCCAAGGATACCCGCTGGGTGTTTTAATCTCATTAACTGTCGACGCGATTTCAACGCTCTTTCCCTCTACCCTCTCTTTTATATTCATATATTTATGGTCTCTACTGTATATTTCATCTGCGACCTTTGATTACAAATGTTGTGTGGTCGCTGTTGTTGTTGTTGTTGTTGTTGTTGTTGTGGCTGCAATAACATTTAAACAAATTGCATTTGTTATCCTGCGGTTTCTATTTTTCATAGTCCGAGGAGGGGTTCGCCTGCTTGCTCTTTCCTATGTCATAGCTTGCGAGAAAATGTGGCTAAATGTCATGAAAAGTAATGGAAATCGATGGAGGATTATAGGTATGTCATTGGAAAATTAGGTTTAGGTGGGGGTCACCTTTAGATGTGAACTTTTTAAAATATTGATTTTGCCTTAGCTTATATCGTCTGGAGTAAATATTAAACATACTTCCATATCTCAAGTCATTAATTAATATTTTTCGGCATAAAAAACTGAACATCGAATTCGTAGGTTTAATGTTAATGTAATTTTACTTTAATTAAGCTTAAGCTTAAAACATAATTGTAAGTTTTAAACCTTAAAGTGCAAGGATTTTCCAACTTTAAAATCAGTTTCCAATTGATAAATCTCTTGCCTTAAGAAAAGGAAAGTTTTGGATCAACTTTGGACCACCTCAAAGCAAATATTTAAAAAATATATCTTAAATGAGTTTTTAAAAACTAAACATCCACAAAATAATATTTGTAATTTATTGTATTTTAGATAAAAAAAAAAACAAAAAACATTCAGAAGTTTAACATTTTAAAGTCTGAATCTGCTTAGTTTGTTTATTTATTAAATTTACAAATTTTTTC